TTCGTTAATCGTTAATTAATTACTTATTAAGAATATTTATTTAATATTAATTACTCGCAAATCTAAAATTTTGTCACCAGTTTATTTAAATGAATTTTAATTTCATTCGTAGCATTCGATCTGCTTTTACTTTTTTTTATATAAATTACTTATATTTATGTTAGTAAGATACACAAAAAGAAACCATAAAACTTTAAAAAATTATCATTTCTAATAAAAGGATTTTTCAATTTTTTAGGTTTGCTGGTAATTATTGAAAACCCAATATTTGAAATTTGTTTTTTACTTGGAAACATCACTATCTAGCGATAATTTGTATATTTTATTTTTATGACCAGCATAATATGAAAAAAAATTCGCGAATGTTTGCTAGCAAAGCTAATGTCAACCCCTACAAAAATTTATTCAGATGATACGAATTTAAATCTACTATGTACATTTAAGAAGGTATGAAATTGTATCAATTAATGTATTTAAAAAAAATCTAGAATAGAAACAATATTTCTTTTTTGCCAATTTTCACTGAATTTTTAATAATTTCTAGTATTATTCTAGATTCAGTTCATCTATTTTCTCCAATTATTTCTTTTTCGAACCCTTTTCATGTATAAAATAATTTTAATAAAACCGTCTTGTTTTTGAATTATTTATTCAGGATATATTTCCCTTTCGTATTTAAACAATGCGTACAATCCGATAAACCTATTTGCTTTTAAATTTTCCACTGAAAAACCAGGTACTCCGTATAGGAGGAGAAATTGTCTTTCGATTGATCACTAAAATGACTGTCGCCTGATTCCTGATACGTAACATCTTCGTGTTCTTTCAATACAAGTACTTTTTCTTTCAATACTACTAAATAAAAACAAATTATCTAATAACAAGAGTGACTGTGAGATTCATAGAGTGACCCCATCGAGTAACGAAAATTTGAAAAAACGTAGATAATTCTAAATCTGGTGCACATCTAAGCAAAAAAAGATTCTCTCACAGAAGTTGAATAATGTAGTGATGGAATACTTACTACATCTATTACAGTGTGTCATACGATTTTCAGTTACAACATAAAGTTAACTCTCAAAACACCTCCACAAATTAAATAATTCCTAACATGTAATGCATCACAACGGCATTGAACAGTGCAACGATTGAAATCGAAACGTTTCAAAGTGTTTGCAGTTGATCGAGTCAAAATATTCACCTAATTTGAAAAACACATAGTGTTGCAAGGTCACACACCTATTCACTAAGTAACTCCTGTTCACCGGTATTAATATATTGTATATTTTTAAATTCCATTGCTTTTCGAAATGAATAAATAGGATACTAATAAGGGCACCGACTTCGTCAAAGTACTTATACGTTCATAGCCGTAGAGACCTAATTTATCGTAGGATTTCCTCGAACGGCGAGATGGTAGCGATGTGCAGTCGCGCGCGCAAGCCGGCCGCGGAAAGTGTGCCGGCGCACGTCTCCGATGCATTTTCCTGAGTCGGCCTAGATAGCCGACGCGTCGCCGGCAGCTCTCGAATTGTAACCTACATTACATACGTAACTCTATGGCCATTACGCCAACCTAAAGCCGAATATTTCATTTTACGACGCGCGTTTACGAAATAAAAAAGCAATCCTCTATTTCGCGAGATTCGAGAAAGTTCTATACAAATGCTATTATTACATCGACCATCGCGACAACAAGCGATCGATAATATTAAAACACGCCAGTGGCGACTTCCATTTCAATTGTCAGTTTATGAAAACAACAACAGTGCTCGTAGTATAAACAATAACATGTAATGTGGAAAGGCACAATACGATACAATAAAATGATTAGTCAGTGCAAACAAATGTTTCATTAAATAAAATTTTCGACGTGTTTATAAAAACGGCTTTCTCTGAGATTACTCAATTTTTTTTTATGAAGATGTAGTGACTAGAATGGAAGACATATTTTATGGCGCATTGGCCATCTGGTAAAAAACAAGGAAAGTAGACCGGCGAAACAAATATACAAAGCTAACGATGAAAGGGTCGATCGAAGGCATCATAAAAGATCTACGGATACAGACCGAGTCGGTAACATATGAAAGAAAGACCACATTTTGATCATCCATGATCCATGAGGTCGCACGAAAGGATTACATCAATGGCAGTGAAAAGAAAAGAATATATGTAAAGATCCTAACCATGTTAGGTCTTTTTCTATCCATTTTGGATAAGAGGAGGCGACTTTAGATACTAAGTTACAGTGGAATTTCTATATAACGGAATTGACGAAAAAGCTTAGTTTTGCAAACTTATGCAGTCAAAAGAATTCGGTGGCTCGCAAATGAAAGCACCGCAAGATTAGTTTATTTTATTTCCTCTCATAGTCTCATGACCTATAGAGTTCTAGTATGGGGTCATGCAGCCGATATAAGCACAATTTTTGTGTTGCAGAAGCGGGTTATTTGTATCATTTATAATTTGATCCTAACAGAATCTCTCAGAGAAAAATTTAAAGAAATTAATATTTTAACTGTACCATCAACAATACATATACGAAAAGCTAGTATATGTCAAAAGAAATATAAAATCGTTCCAAAATATGAGCGACATTTATAATATTAACAGTAGAAACATAAGAATGACCTTGCTGCTCATAAAACCAGACTCAAGAAAAATTCGCAAATCATTTAAGGGGCAATGTGTGCACTTTTATAATAAGGTCCCAGTTGAAATTAAAAATTTGCCGTTTCATAAATTTGAAAGTTTATTTTAAAAAAGTTATTTGATAAGAGCTATTATGCCGTATCTGAATATATTAACGAAAAAAAACCCGTGAGACTGAACTGCTCGACTATCGGGTTGTTTCAAGTAATTTTCAAATGTTTAGCTAGTTTTCATTACTATCTATCATGTATCATTGGGCGAAACCGAAAAATGAATCAGCATTCGAAATAGGTGTTAATGTTAATACCAAAAGAATGCCATAATAACGTATTTTAAGTGTAATTCCATTACCTATGAAATAAAGATATTTTAGATTTAAATTTTTTGATTTAATTTTTTTAAGCTTTTGGTACATTATAATATAGTTTTAAATGGTATCCAGATATGAAATGGGAGGGCAGTCCCCTGCGGTACGATGATAAAAACCTAACAGGAACACATTCTATATTTGATTTCGTCCAGGTTCCGATCCCGGTGGCGCTCCCGATTTCGTACCTAAGTTCTGATTCCATTACCGACCTATGATATTAAACTACCTTGCGTCCATTCCTTGGCTTCACTAGTCTGTCTCAAGGCTTCCCACAATCTTTTGGTTTCAGTTCAAGGGACCGGGACCGCCGACTGCGGTTCGGCGCTGCTAACTTTTGTCACCGATGTGATGACAACGTCCGTGACCGACGACTTAATGTGGAGTCAATAGTTTAATATAAATCGAGTCAAGAGCTCATTGATCAATTCATCCGTGATCAAGACCGAAACCAGGAATTATGATTCCAAGACGACGTTTTTTTTACCAGAACATAACTCTACAAACTAAAAAATCGCGTAAATTCGCTAAGCAACAGTAGAGTGATAACTACACTAAAATACAAAGAGACATTGCTATTTTTAATACTCTATGCTCGTTATAAGTGGATCAAAATACCTAAAAGACACAATAAGAGATTAAATAAATAGAAAAAAATGTAAATATTTAGACACATGCGTATTCTATTTTAAAATATCGTACATTAGATACATTTGCACACAATAAAAATGTACTTAAATATTTCCAAACCATAATCCAGCAGGAGCTCAAGGCTGCACAAACAAAAACATGAATGCATTGCATCCACCGCGCATGCGACCGCGACTCGCTTTGCAAACAATAAGGCGTTGCAAGTCCCGTATCCATTATTAATTCACAATAGAATGTTGCCTTAGAGCAATTTAGGATTTAACTGTTCGAGCCCAGATTTACTAGACTCCTTTTAGGGCACGTCCAGATGATGAAAATATCCAGATGCATCTTAAGATGTCTTTTTTTCGCCATTTAATTTTTATACTTTGTTAATCTTTAAAATTTAAATATCTTTAAAATTTCAAGTACAATGTGATAAAGAGGTTCCTTACTCTAGCGAAATGATCAGTTCTTTTGGATGCGGAAGGTCGTAGATTCGATATCCAATAAGGTGTCTTATTTATGTTTGGGGTTCCGTACACAAAGAGTGCCGTTTTATAGTTCCGTAAATAAATCGTGTCAAAAGGATGACATTATGAGGCTTTACTGTCTGCCCGTCCGTCAGTCACAGAGCTTTTTTTTTATTTCATAATAAGTAAATACTTAAAATTTTCACAGAATGTGCATATTGCCGCTATAATAGCAAATAATATAAATAAAATAAAATCAAAAATAAAAGGAGGCTTCAATGCAAGAAACATGTTTTCATTCAGTGTTCTTTTTTTGCTTGATCTTAATAATATCAATAATGGCAATATTTACAAATATCTGACTAGTATAAATATAATGCGTACTCTTAAGTAAAACGACATATAATTTATTCCTGGGCCATACAGGGTTGTCAAACTTGATCTGATCTTAATGCATACTATTGAGTAAAACATTCTAATTTAGTGTAACAATAAATCGAAACATACATCCATATACAATCTCTTAGAAATAGGCGCTAAATCCAAGATCGGCCAAAGCAGATTCGCTTCCGAAAATGAGAAATGCGAGTATTTGGGGCATCCAGTCGATACAATCTCAAAATATATTTATAACACCTCTCTCTCGGTTTTTACTAAACCATTTTTGACAAGTATATAGTGTCAAATATTGCACGATGATACGGAACCCTACGTGTGCGAGTCCCATTCGCAGTTGACCAGGTTTTTGGAACGAAATTCCTTATCGCACATTACACGCGAGCTCTCGGCGGATGGGAGCTACACTAAAAAAAGTGTAACCGCAATGAAAAATGCTGACCGCTCTTACTTTAGTTAACATGTTTATAAAATTGTTTGCTAACGTCCATACCACGCTGGATACACCGGTGCTCGTCCGATCACCGAGTTAAATGGCGTCGGCCGCGGTCAGTACTTGGATGGGTGGACCGCCTGCGAACACCGCTTTATTTGGTGTTGCATTTTTTTACGGTAATTTATAAAAAAATAATTATTAATATTTTTATTACAATATTTTATTACCATTCCTTCATTCTCTTTTATCTGTTTTTACTTTCATTGCTTTCAAAATTTGTTAATTTATTTCATTGTGCTTGTATGTAAACTTATGATTCCCTTTTATTTCTTAAAATATTAAATGAAACTCTGGATTGTTTCAATTCTGGAGAGTATTCAATTTTAAACTTTCAATAATTAATATTTATTCAAATATGTGAAAGTGACATCTATAATTAATTTCATAATTACATTATTGTGCAAATTGACGAACTTGGCTGTTTAGTGGTTTTTTTTTTCAACATTATAATAATTAATTAAAAAAATTGGTTGCCTGTAAAGTCGGTATACGGGCGAAAGTTTTACGTGACAACGACTTTGAATGGTAAAATCATTTTAATGTGAATATTCATTCGTATAGTAGGAAGAAGGATGAAATAATAGTAACAATTTAAAACATTTATTTATACAAAGAATTATATTTAAAACATTAATTTATACAAAGAATCTCGCACTGAATTTCATATTAACAAAATTTTATTTTTACCTTTACACATACATACGTATTTATATACAAATATACATACAATAACTTGCAATACATTTGCAAGCTATGCACTAATTCTCTAGTGCTGCGCGCGCGGCAGACCGATCATAGTTGAGTGGGAGAGACGCAAGGCATTCGGCGGGCCTCTCTCGTTCGGTGACTCATCGTAACGTTACCGAGCGTTACACTTTTCATAAGTGACTCCCAGCCGCAACCTAATTTAAGACGTTGTCACGTCAAAATATATCATTTACAACTTACACATATTTCTTACCATTAATTCACTTATATTATTAATATAATTATCATTTAATATTATTCAATTCATAAAATATACTTACATACAGCTAAAGGCACTTCTTTTTAACCGGGTGTCCCGAAGGCACCTCGTGAGTTTTTTTCTAACACCGAACGAAGCTAACGGCCATTCGAAACGATGCACCGGGCGCGTTCGACCCGCTGCGCCGATGCAACGCGCCACTGTTATCTCGGATGCGTGTCATTGTTACGAGAACGTGTAACGCGAGACTTCCGCCGTCAAGACAAACGGAATTATACCCATCACGGTTCCGTACGTGCGTCGCGACCTCGCCGGCGACCGACCGCGATTGCGTCACGGAACGGTAAATATTTATGGTTGTTTAAAAAAAAAACATTATTAGCTATTCACGTTTTTTCTAATTGTATAATGTCTAACTGTAGTTAGACATGATGTTGTTTACTGTATAGACATTTTGACGGAGAAAATAATCATTCTAAGGAATTATAACGATGACAGATTATTCGAAATCTAATAATTGAGATGTGCAGTTGTAAAATTTCTCACTAGCGACGATATAAAAACGGATATTGAATTTCGGTTTCATCGGGAGAAAAAAAGAAGTGCATACGATGCACTTTTCGATGTCGACGGCCGAATTCAAATTTTGTGCAGAAATGAAAATGCATACGCTTAGACGCATTTTTCGAGGTCGATATTGGAGATGAGAGTGCGGTACGTCCGAGCGCCGGCGCCGGCCGACGACCGGCCGCCGTGTCGGCCAACACTTTCTCCGTTGGTTCGATTAAGGTTTTTAGTATTCGGAATCGGCTTTAGTGAATATTCGGCGCCGGCGCAGTGCGCGTAAATAATGCGGCACGCTTTACTTTTATCGTAGAATGTGTATAAGAATACGAAAAGATTTCAATGTCAGTGAAAGTTTTAACAAGTTTTTATTTAAAAGAAAAAGTACAAGTATACTATTTAAAAGTAAAAACTTTAATTATTTTTTAAGAAAAAAAAACTTGTCAACACATTTTTTTTTTGTGTTCATGATTTTTATTATTAATAAGCATAAAGATAGGAAAACTTGTTGGTTAACTGCGATTTTGAACATGTTTTATTAATGTACAGAAACTATATTTGTGTATTTGTCAAAGAGATCTATTAGTACTTAATCTGCATGTACGTTCTACCTGTTGATAAAATTAAAGTTCATTTCAACAGAAACTTACTAAGATTTATTATTTTCGCTAACCTAAGCGATAAAAATCGTAACACTTATTACTAACAACAACATATGTATTTGACCAATCGACCAATAAAAATGAACAGCCTCATATAAAAAACCGCATTCCATTTCACATCGCATATACTGAAAACATTAAACGAACGATCTCAACATAATAACCGACCTACATCCTCGATGGTTTCCTCTGTTCCGATTGTAATTGAATTTCAAACGATAATAATAACAAAATAAAATAAAAGTTGTCTCGGTTAAAAATTTTATTCGGTCAACGGTTCAAACGCGCGTCCCACAGCCCGCCGTTAACCCGTTTTAACTGAACCCAACCACGGCGGCGCACAATAAAATTGTGGGACCGGCGGTCGCTATTGTACCGTGATCCCGCGACGGTTCACTTTCAGCGCTAGACTTGACCGGAAGTTGCTCTCGTTGAAATTGTCCACTATGCGCTAGTGCGTTCGCTTGTGCATTTGAATGTCATTTAATTATGCAATGAAATTACCTACACGACGTGCAAGCGTGCGTCGGTTTTTGAATGCAGTTTGATTCCCTTTTAGTCTAAGTCCGAAATAGAAGAAATATATTGCCCGAGTAGAGTATAATTTATTCGGTATAAGAATGAGTATGCTCATGAAAATGATAATACTCATTTTTATACCAAATAAATGAAATATAATTGTCGAAACTGAAAATTCTTTCGTTATAGATGAAGACAACGAAGACAACTTATTTAGTATTCGCGACGGCGGCGCGTGCTCTCCGAGGCACGAAATCGGCGGTTTGATTTGCTTCGAATCGAAAACTGTTTAATGTATTCGCCCGGTACTTTTCGGTCCCCAAGCGACGATCTTAGCCATCGAGCCGATACCGTTCACGGCACTTAAGGTTTACTCTACGAAGCCAAAATTATTAATTATTCAATGTCGTCCATACGACAACAAAAATATTACATAAGTGTTTGAAACTTAGTGCAATGTGTATACATATTAAGATAAGCGAGAAAAAAAATTGACTAAGAGCACCTCGGACCGTGCTCATTATAGGGTTCCGTAGCCATTATTACGAAGAAATACTCTACAGATGAAAAAAGTACGTTGTTACACTTTTTCCATGTTTCCCTCACAGAGTAGTTATAAGCACTTTAGTCGCCTATAACTATAGAAACAAGTAGGTATGTCGACTATTACTATTAAACTAGTGTACAGTAAGGTGCGCCAGTAAAAGAGCGTATATTCATAGCATTGACGTCCTTTTGTAGAGGAGCATAATTTTTCTGCAATAACTCAAAAACGATATAAATGTGATCATGTTCAAAATAACTTTCGTTGAAAGTATTTTTTAAGCGTCACCTTTATAATTTTTTTCATATTTTTGGACATACGGTTTAGAAAATAAAATATCTGTTACTTTCGAAGCTATTATTTCAGAAAATATTCAAAAAATTTTTATTCAAATATTAATCAAAAAAATTCTTTGAATACCTTAAAGTTTTTTAAGAGAATTATTTGTTCATATTTGCTAAAAAAAAATTCAGTTTCTGTTACATGTATGAAGTGGCCTGCCTAAAAATATTTATTTTAATTATTTAACTACGAAACTAAGTAAGTAACTAACTAACTAAGTAAGTAAGTATAAGCTTTATACAGGACACCTATACTCCGAACTTCATCAATATACATCATGTATTTTATAAGTAAAATGCCTGTTATATACAGATGGACGGACGGACATGACGAAACTGAAAGGGTTCCGTTTTTACATTATAGTTGCATTATAGCATCGGATCGGACCCTAAAAAGGAACCAATCCGGCAGGTGGCGGCGTCGTCGCCGCGCCGACGCACAGCACTCGATGAGCGCCGTGAGAACGCACGCGGCACTCGACGGCGGCCGAGGCATATTGAATTATCTAACTGTCCGTAACACTTGAGAGGATGCGTTCGACATGGCGACCCGCTTTTTTTTATCAAACTTCTCATGAGATTTTGAGCTGTGCAGTCAGCGAGCAGAGCTCGCTTGCGTCCGATTTGTCGGTGTGTTGTTTCCGACCGATGGGTTTTTAGCTTAAAACTAATAAAATACCAATCGAACCGACGTGCCACAAAGTGCGTCAAAATGGAGGGTTTTATCGCATCTGTAACGGCGTTAGCAACAGCCCGCAGTCGCTAGACCAGCTTGAGCGCTTAAAATCCAAGCTATTCAATCTGAAATATAATATATTGGAAAAATATGCTTCTGGATTGGACAAACAGGAACACGTTGTCGAATCTAACGCTTAAGCGTGCTTTGTTTTTTTTAAGGAATGACTTAAAGGTAATATCTCTTCAAAATCATCCCTAACACAGAAGAGTTTGTCAAATTTGAATAATGCTACACAGATATTAAGTTACGTCATTTTAATGTATTTGGCGCCTCTACACTTAAATTTATAGGCAATAGATAACATACATATGGTAACACAAAATATTTTAAATGAAATATTTTGTATGACTGTAGTATCCTGACCAAAATAATTTATTCAAGCCTAGAGACGAACGTAGTTCCTTTCAATCCACATATCCATTTAGAAACAAAGTACCTGTTTGTTAATTTTTTTTTATAATAGCCACAACCCCTCAAATTATAAATAAAAAGATTAGGGAAGTATATAGGTTGTTTAAAGCTCCAGCTGGACCAAAATCTGACACTACCCCTAAACTTTGACATTAAACGTTATGCATTTTTGCATTAAATATGTAAATGATTCCCTCTACTTAGCTATTGATGCTTTTAGTATAAAATATTTCAATAGGCTTTCGAAAATGTTTTATAATTATATGTGCAATACAAAGTGTGTATTTGTGACACTAAATAACAACAATTTACGTACAAAGAAGTTTTTTCTTTAATTCTAGA